AAAAACATTTTCTTCTCCCCAGATTCAACAAGTTTGTTTTTATCCATAAGAAAACCAAGACACAGTGTCAGTTGACATGGAGTCAAATTAGTCAGGTTTGCTCTTTCAAGCACTCACACCCCCTCTTTTCTGCAGTAGCTGGCAGAGAAATGGCCCATTTTCACATACTTAGAAACCTCTGTGGGTGTGTTCAGTTCCCACAGGCCTAGCTCTAACTCCATTGGTTTTCTTTCCTACTTAAAAACTAAGAGGCTAATTTTCTTTTTATTTACCAGAAGCGCTATATAAAGAAGTAACAAAACAGCAGACCAGATTTGGCCTAAGTGTTTTACAGTGCTGAATTTTAAAATCAGGGCAGTGTATATAGAGCCTGGATTTGCTTCTGAGCAACAGTGAGCCACATTCCCATGGCAGCCTTAGCTGGGGCCGCCTTCTCCCAGGCCAGGCACTCACTCATGGAAGCATGCCTTGCCTGGATTACAGAAATTTTGTCATTAACATTTTTTCAAATATACCTTGTGTAAGGAGGATCATTTTCTAGCCCTATCCACCTCCTGGGTTGCAGACATTCCCTATTATTACATGTCAGCTGAGAGTCCTGGTCTTTACTTCACTGTCTCTGTGAGCAGCTAGAAATTAGAAAGATTCAGGCCACTTTAGTTTTAAAACTTGAGATGGCTATTTTGATGCCTAAAAAGCTTCAGACTTTTTGCTTATTTAAGAGACAAGAAACCTTTGCCCATTTCCTCTGTGTTATAGAAATTTAGACTCTAATAGGGGGCTTGCCAGTTTAGACATGGCACACCCCACCCCAACCCCTGCCTACTCAAAAGCATTAGCATCATTTGGGGATCTAATGAGAAATGCAGAATTTGGGGCTCCACCCCAATCTGCTGAGTGACCTTTGTGTTTTCAGGAACTTCCTGGGCCTCGGGTAGTAATGAAATACCACTTCTCTTTCTCATCCCTGTGTCCTTTGTTGCCCAGCTGGCTTCAGGTGACACAAGCCCTCCTGCTTAGACCAGGGCTCCATCACATTTGACAGAAAGCCCTCCAGCCCAGCACCCCAGGCCAGATTGCTTTTGAGTCACATTTGCCTGATACACGAGGCCATTTTGTGTCTTGGCTGTATCAAGTTTCTTCATCCCAATCCTTTTTTCACCCTTTTATAAAAATTTCAAATGGATATTCACTCAGATAGAATGTAGCCAACCTAGCTTGTGAGTGGAAGTTTCTACCTCCCTCAGGCTGATGTTCTGTGCCCTGAGCCCTAAGCCAGGGATGTATACAGAGTGGGTAGCATACATACACGTTTATAGTGCATAAGCCTGGAATTCAATCCCCAGCACTACAGGGACAAAAATGCAAGGCTATATAATTACTTTTGTTTATGAGATCCAGTTCAAATTTTCCTTCCACAAAATAGCATAAAGTCCCTCCCAGCTCAGCAGTTGGCTTAACTGCTCCCAACAGTGCCAGCCACACCAGAGGGTGTATGCAAAACACATTCCCTGACAGACGCTATGGTTACTTGGTTCATGACATTGAGATGTAGCTCCAGGTTACCTGCTGAATCATTTACATGTGACTTATCTTATCAAATATGCCTATTACTATCCTATAGTATCAAATATTTCTATAGTTTTTTTCCTTTTGTTTTTGAGTCTTCCAAAAGATTTTTTTCCCATTGCTATGTTAAAAATTATTAAGGAAATTGGGAATAACAAAGGAAGAAAGGAAAGGTGAGAAAAAAAGGAAAATGAAGTGTGAAGTGGTTACAAATCATTGCTATTTTTAACTGTAATCCTTTCACACTGGTTTTATGTCTAGTAATTGCTTCCTAAGCCTGAGGAGTATAGGAGGCCCAGGAACTTTCCTGAGGGTGTCAGTCTCATGAATAAAGAACACAAAATGTTAGAAGAAGACCAGAGGTTATCTGGGGAAGGCTCCTAGAAAATTGGCTAGTATTCCTCAGCCTTATGAGTTGAGCGTAATGATTTTTGCAGTGTTTCAAGAGATACCAAAACCAATTTGAACAGATAGACAGGCATGCATGCAGGAAAGTGAGACCCATAGTGGTTTTAATATGGGCCTGTGGTCCTAATGATAGAACTGGAAGAGATGATGGTGGGAAGAAAAGCATAGACTAGCAAAAGCTTTAATAACAATGAACATAACCACAACTCATCATTCAAAGAGTATTTCCCTAAGAACAGCAAATCCATGAGCCATAGAAACATTCAGTATTCGTCCATATTTCGTTGTGCTATTTTGAAATTGGAAATGAAATGTGTGGCTCTAAGGAGCTAACACACAATTTCAGAGCAAAATAGATTTTAGGAACCTCACCCAACCAACACATGCCATAAGAAGGACATACAAGCTGTTTTCTGCAACCCACTGGGCCATCTTTGCATGCCCAGAGGTTGGCGTTGGTCATTTAGCCACAAGCCTGTTAAGTGAACTTCTCAGGCCACTCCTCTCTGTCCCCAAATATCCTGGCACTGAAAGGCATGTCCCTTTCCTGCTCATCATGAAGGGTCATGGCTGACCCCCCTGTAACAAAGGACAGGTTAACAAGAGAAAAGCATAATAAATGTATTTGATCACAGTTTTACTTGACATAAGCCCTTCAGATTGAAGACCCCATTACTCAGGAAGAGTTATCCATTTTTATGTTTAAGTTCGATGAAGCATATAGATAGCTATGTAGAAACATGACTGGACACAAAGGGTGTGACCTAGTGGTAACAGACTAAGGGGGAAAGCCCAGTAAGGTCTTTCCAGATTCTTCTTGGCCCCTCTGTGTAGCACTCTTTCCTTCTGAATGGTAGAAACCTTTCCAGAATGAGAGTCATATGAGCTATAGCCAAGAAAGATCAAAGAATTTCCTTATGGCCAACTCTTATTCAGAAAGATGGGGAAGTTTAAGTAAGATTTTGAGGCTTTATGACTGTTTTGGGGAAAATGGGTTCTAGTTTCTATGACTTGCCTTGGAAAGGGGAATTCTAACTTCTGTGGCTTGCCTCAAGGAAGAATAAGGGGAAAGAGATTGGAGGGTTGCGGGGGAACAAGCAGAAGACATCAGAAAGAAAATTTCTCTGAGGTCTTTACTTTGGGGTATCATGACATCCTGCTGAGGGGAAGCATGGCCTGTCATGGGGGAAGACTGTCATGCCACCAGTGTCCTAGGTGTGATCAATAGCATCTCCCAGCCGAGGTTCTGCTGCCTGCCATGGCTCTGAGTCCCCTTAATGGAGAAGATCTCCACCCCCCATATGGCAGGCAAGTAACTGCCCCAGCAAGGTCAAAGACAAGCAGACACAGAATGTCTGCAATAGAATAGGGCTTCCTGTGGCAATTTCATCTAAAATATGCATTCAAAGAAACAATCTCATTTCATCTTCCTAGGAGGAGGTGGTTTTTTAAACTAAGTTGAAGGATCAAAATAGAACTGCACAGTAAAGGAAATCATTATGTAGGAATTGCTTTGCGGTTTCTCAGATATTCCATAAGAACATATTTTTATTAGAACAAAATCCCTTTGCAGATTACCAAAATTGTCTCCAGCAAAACATGATGGATTGTAGAAAAAAAGAGTTTCAGAAGATATAAAGAGAAATATCAGCCTTTTTCCTCCTTATCATCATTTTCTTACCTGAAAGCAGATGGTTTTATAGTAATATCACCATATATATTTTGAAAATTAGTTAACATGTTAGTTGAATAAATTCCTCTCTGAAGTCAAACCCCAGTATCACCACCAAAAAAAAAGAAAAGAATAGATTACTCTCTTAATATTTCTAATTATAGCCAAGGATGCTGATAAGTCATTAACGAGTTGCTTTGGAGTGCCCGGTAGCAACAGGAAATAAGAGTTGTACCAGGAATAATATAATATATATTGTGCGTAAAGTAGAAAGACTACTTACACAATTATTTCAGGGCTACTGAAAAGTCTCAAATTTTAGTGGATCTTTGTTTTGTTTGTGGGTTTTGTTTTTCTGTGTTTTGGTTTTGGTAGTCAAGTTTTTCAGAAAGTCATTGATAAGTCCCAATGTGTGAATGTGTGAATGCCAATGCATACATTTTTCTATAAGGTATACTAGCATATTTAGGTATGGTTGATATCTTAAGATTTTGTTCCTAGTATTCTCTGGGATTTGGGAATGCATGTGCTACAAAGAAACTTTTGGTTTCTGCCCATTAAGTGTGAGAAATTTTGGAGCATTTATAATCAAATCATGCACTCATATGGAAGTGTTCATAATTTTTTAATACTAAAAAGTAAGTGTGTTTAATGAGATGAACTTAACTCACATCCTTGGTTTGCAGAAGTGTTTTTAAATATGTTGGTGAAAGTAAGCCTGTTGTCATTTTCATAAACTTGTCATATTTCCTGCCAATCCCATCTCTCGCCTATCTTTTCAGTTCTTGAAGAATTAAAGAAGTGATTGTTCTAGTTTTACTGACATATCCATAACAAGAGCCCCAAGGTTTACTTCATTGCAAAAGAAACATACTGGAAATCCCCCAGGTTGCGCCTACAGCAGATCACAGATCAGGGATCCTTAGGAAGGCAGTAGCGTTTAATGAGCCTAGAAGGAGTAGGGCTAGGCTGAACCCTCCTTTCTCCATTCACTAGTATTTCCTGGGTTTCTCTCTAAGGGATGCCAGCCGGGCGTGTTTCAGGAGGCGGTTCTCTCCAATGGGGAGACAGCTGGAAGAGTTCGCGCGTGGGAAACCTCGGCCCCTTTCTTTCTTGCAAACGCCTGCATCGCTCTGCGGAGCGCGTCGCCCAGGCTTGGTAAAAGGTCCTGCTCACCCTTCTCTGTGGTTAACCAGAAGTTGCCTCCCCGGGCTGCAGCCACCAGACCCTGGAGCAGGCGGGGGAGGGGGTGGGGGGCAGGCGGGGGCGGGGCGCTGCGGGGTTCCTCTGTTGCTAGAGCGGTGATGTCACTAGCCTCTCCTAACCCGCGGTTGGCTGTTCTGTGTTTCAGCTCTGCCTGCAGTTGAGCACAAAGACCTGGAGGAGACTCCCACAGCCTTCAAGGAGAAGAAAGGAGGCAGCGAAGCTGATTAAGAGGAACTTGTGGCTTGTGGCCTTTTTGTGCACAGGCTGCCTGAAAGGAGAGGAAAGTGCATTAAAGCCACAGTGGCAGTTAATGAGCTGTGAGATGAGGAGCTGCTGCTGACCCCGGTCCCAGGATCCCACTGCTGCCCTTTGTGCTTCGTGTACATGTGTCTATTCAGGCCGGCCGGAGGCGCCCAGAAGAACATCCACCACGGCTGCTGGGGAAAGACCACCCGCCATGCCCACGGAGACACTACAGACAGGTAGCATGGTGAAGCCGGTGAGCCCCGCCGGCACCTTCACATCTGCGGTGCCCCTGCGCATCCTCAACAAAGGGCCAGACTACTTCCGTAGGCAGGCCGAGCCCAACCCCAAGAGACTCAGTGCGGTGGAAAGGCTGGAAGCCGACAAGGCCAAGTACGTCAAGAGCCAGGAGGTGATCAACGCGAAGCAGGAGCCCGTGAAGCCAGCTGTGCTGGCCAAGCCCCCGGTGTGCCCAGGCGCCAAGCGTGCCCTGGGCAGCCCCACGCTCAAGGTGTTCGGCAACCACGCTAAGACCGAGAGCGGCGTGCAGCGCGAGAACCTCAAGCTTGAGATCCTGAAGAACATCATCAACAGCTCCGAGGGCTCCAGCTCGGGCTCAGGCCACAAGCACAGCTCCCGCAACTGGCCACCGCACAGGGCAGATGCCACCGACCTGCACCGCCACTCCTTCGCTGAGTCCCTGAAGGTCTACCCCACGCCAGGCCGTGGCAGCCCCCAGGAAAGCAGCTCTCACGTGAGCAGGAGGCTGCTGGAGCAGTCATCCGAGTCCTTCCTGCATGTCTCCCACAGCTCCTCAGACATCCGCAAAGTGACCAACGTGAAGCCCCTCAAAGCGATCCCCTGCAGCAGCTCTGCCCCTCCCCTGCCTCCGAAGCCCAAGGTCGCAGCCGTGAAGTCCCCTGAAGCAGACCCTGTGGAACCAGCTTGTGGCGTCAGCCGAAGACCCTCTCTTCAGCGGTCTAAGTCAGACTTGAGTGACAGATATTTCCGAGTGGATGCGGATGTGGAGAGGTTCTTCAACTACTGTGGACTGGACCCTGAAGAGCTGGAAAACCTTGGCATGGAAAACTTTGCAAGGGCTAATTCTGACATCATATCCCTCAACTTCCGCAGTGCAAGCATGATCAGCTCAGACTGTGAACAGTCTCAGGACAGTAACAGTGACCTTAGGAATGATGACAGTGCCAATGACCGCGTGCCATATGGCATTTCTGCCATTGAAAGAAATGCTAGGATCATCAAGTGGTTATATAGCATCAAACAAGCTAGAGAGTCACAGAAGGTATCCCACGTGTAAGAGACAGTGCTGGAAAAGAGGGAGGGGCAGGTCTGTCTGTGCATACACAGTTGTGAAGGTTGTGAGGTCTCCTTGAAGTGTTGTGAGCTTCTCCACTCCTTGTGTTGCTTGTTGTGCAATGTTTTCAAGTTGCATGCCTGTCAACATGGCGGCTGGCCTGGCTTCCTCTTCACATCCCTGCAGAGCCTGGCTGAACACTCATCTGCCACAACTTTCAGGCCAGAATCTAATTAGGGCTTTGCTGTTAAGCAAAACTGTTTACAGGAAAGATGGTATACAATTTCTTCAATATTTATGTGGTTCTTGTGTTTTTATATCCCACGCTATTGTGTCTTAATTAAAAGTTTTATCAACTGGCTTTTTAGTTGAGAGCAGAATCTTTTTGAAATAAAAAAGCCACTTTGCCTACATGTGAGACCATAACAATTGGAAAATAAATACGATCTGCTACCAAACAGATAGAGACTGACCATAAAACCAGACTTGGGTTTCTGTGGAATAAAGTAGTGAGCCTGATTTTTTTAAGTTTACATGTTGAAAGTCTCTTGCCACTTAGTGGAGCATCCTTGGGATAACATTAGTAAGTTTTGTGTCCATTTCAACATGTACATGTCAGTGGTTCTGTGTAGTACTGACCCAAGAAAAGACAATCAGGTACATCCAAGGTTGATTAACTCTAGGAGGTTTGGTGTTTGGGCGTTTCGTTGATGCAGTTCAGATTGGGATAATTCAGAATTTTCTAGTATTAATCTTTTGGCTGAAATGGCCACTGATTCTGAATACCTTTTTTTTTTTTTTTTAAGTTCTGTGGAACTTAAGTTTTGTTTTTTAAGTTTTTGGAGGATTTTAAGTTCCTTTGTTTTTGTTGTGTTTTGAGTCAAAAGTTACTAATCTATGCTGTTTTTCTTCCTCATTCCCTTTGTAGTTGTGTTTGGGGGACTGAAGTGGAACTTGCACAGGTTTGAGCTAGAAACAAAAAAATACAGAAATAAACAAAAACGGAAATACCAGCCATATCACTATATAGCCTCCTGTTCAAAAATGAATCCATTGCGTAGTTGAATCATGTCTGAGCAGTGGGATTCTGTTTTCTTGCATATGTTATTTTCTCTAGGCTGTGGTCATTTGTTACAGTTCTTGGAAATGTGGAAACACTGTAGCTTTTCTACCCTATGGTCTCTGAGCTGCCTATCACCTCTTCTCCCACCCCCACCCCGACCCCCCCCCACATGCCCTCTAGGTGATTTGGTTAGCTGTCAGCCCCCTGACTGAATGACATGGCAGCAGAGAGAGTACCACACCATGCAGTGGTCTGCTTCATTGCTCTTGTGCTCAGAAGTTTTCAGCAGCACCACCTTAGACTTCGTCAGCTAATAGAAACTTTATATGGTGTAAATGCTTAAGACTTTGTACATATCTCAGTTGTTATGGAATCTTTAAGAAAAAGAGAAAAAGTTATGTTAATAAATAGCTCTGGTGCAGGCTGTGATGGTGGTGGTTTCTCTTTGTTCTTTCCTTTTCTCCCTCCATAAAAGTTTAACTGTGTCCTGTGGGCCAGAAGCACGTTTTTGATAGCCCTAAAGAAACATTATATCATTAAGTTGTTTTCACTCTATCTCAATTATTCCAAACAAAGTATTCTTATTTTGTAGCTATAGTGATGTGCTTTTGCTAAAATAGTTATATCAAGTTTCCTAAAATATGGGGCCACCTCTTCACTTAATTCACACTTCTTTTTATTTTTGTCTTTTCTTAAACATCAGGATTTTCCACATCTTCCACAGGACTCTTCAGTTGTAAATATGTATGAGTTCTTACTGTGGAGGCATACTTTTGAAATAACCTGCCTTCTGTTTCTTTGTAGAAGCCCACCCTCAGGACCACTATGGGTCTCCAGGCATTTGCCACTTAACTCATTAGGCCTTCTTTAAACATGTCACTTGTTGACATGTGACACCCCTTGTCAGGCATCCCAGTAGGTACTGGACTGAACTGGTCAACAACACAGTCTCTTTTCACATCTATTCTAAGAGAAGTACCACTCCTCTTAATGGAAATGTTTTGTCTCCTACTATTTGAACACTGAGTATTCAGTAAGTGTATATTGAATCAAGCTATTTGAAGTAAACATTTCTTCCAAGGGTTCACAGCATATAAAATAGAAGGAAGCATTATTTAAAATGTAATTTTCAGAAAACAAATGATAATGATCCCTATATCATTACTATTTACAACTTTTTCTTCTGAAAAGTAAATTGGCTTCCTTGACCCTATGAGGTTGACATTGTTCTTGGATCGCATTACTGTTCAGTCAAACTAGAACCCTCCCATCTGGAAGAAGAATTCTGGAGCACGGCTGTGAGTAGTGATGATATAAAGCATTCAAGAAAATAAAAATGAGTTTTCTTGGAGAAAAAGCCTAATAAAGTTTTCTTTCCTCATCATTTGTGTAAAAATGTGACCTTTTACCACATGGCTTAGCATGTACAAATCCATCTTTTTTTGGAGCTATTGAATACTAAAAATAGATGTTATTTTCCTAAGGAAACTGGCTTTGGGGGTGGTTCATAATTTAATACCATTGCTTATGATGTTTTAGTAATAGGTTGTACTGGTATTTCAGTACTGGGTGTGATGTACACAACATACAGGACTGTCTACCATCTCTAATTCAGCCTAATCCGCTGGTCTTATCTGTACAATGAACAAATGTGGGGCTGATGAAGTTCCTATATAGGACTATTTAAGATACTTAAATCCTAAGAGTGAGACATTTCCTAATTGTGAAGTACTCTAAAAAGGGCCCCTCTTAGCTCATGAAATTGCTGTGTGCACATGCACTCACATATATAAGATGGTAGTGTTGATATGAATATACTGTTCCCATGTGTTTCCACAGTTTTTGCCCTACACAGTGCAGATGGACCTAGAAGCTAACTGTTTTTTTCTGAAAAACCGCCAAGTCTTAAGAAAATCCTCCCATACCCATCTCCTGAAGCCATTGCCTTAGTTCAGGCTTTCACCATTTCTTTTACCTGGACTATTGTTTTCTAGAACTTTTTAAATGTAAGCCGTCCCTCTCCCCCCACACACACAACCAGTGTTGCTCATCCCACCTCATGCCACAGATCACATAATCAATTCTGATCATGTCTCTCCTCTATAAAAAATATCCTCTGGCTTTAATAGGTTGCTGATAAGACAAATCCTAATTTCTTAACAAAGCAGAGAATATTGGGCATCTCCCTTTTAGACATCAGTCACCTAGCCAGGTCCCCCAGGCTCCAAACAAAGGAAAATTTTCACTGGGAACATTTTATCACTGCATTTATGATCTATGGTACAACAAAGTGCTCCCAAACTCGCAGTGTAAAACAATAAGCATTGATTATCTCAGTGTCTGTGGGCCAGGAATCTTGGAGTGGCTTATTAACACAATGCTCAAAGGGTGTTTCATGAAGCTGCTGACAAGCTGGCCATTGGGGCAGCAGCGTCCTTCACAGACCGGAGGGCCCCTTCCAAAATGACTTACTTGATACCGGCAAGGGGCCTCGATTCCTCACAATGTGGACCTCCCTGGGACTTGCCTGAGAAATCTTTCAACATGGCATCTGGAGGAAGCCCCAGTGCCTTTTACAATCCTGTCACATTTAATACATTAGAAGTGGGTCACTAAATACAGCCCACACACAGGAAGGGGAGTGAGACCCCATTTTTAAAGGGAGGAATATGAAAGATAATGTGAACCTATTTCAAAACCACTACTGCTTCTGAGGTTCCGTAGTTTCTTATTTGTGAGAAGGCTTTCTTGTCTCTTCTTGACCTCCAAGACTCTACATAGCTAGTACTCATTGACATTTATTTTGAGTTGATAAACTGCCCAATTCCATTAGCTTATAATTTTTGTCTTGGCAATGGCCCCAACCTTTGCTAGCCTAAATGATGCCTTTGATTTTTTAAATGGTACCTTCCTCAAAACATTTTATTGGGGTGGGAGAAGAAGAGCTCTCCTAACAAACATGGAAAGCTGTGATGATTCATATGATCCACAACCCTGGGGTTGGGTAGCATGCAACACAGGAGCCCAGATATATAGCAGGTGCTTAATAAGTGTTTGCTGATCTTTAGTGGAGGTGCTTACCTTAAGGTTGAACACCCCTTATCCAAAATATTTGAGAACAGAAGGGTTTCAAATTTTGGAGTTTTTCATATTTTGGAATATTTGCATTAAACTTCACTGGTTGAACATTCCTGATCCAAAAATCTGAACTCTGAAATGCTCCAAAATTTGAACCTTCTTGAGGGACATGTTAGTTTCAAATAATCAGAGCATTCTATTTTTAGATTTAGGGATACTCAACCTGTATCATGTTCTAAGTACTGTGGTAAACTATAAACCTCACCCCAACAGGTCCCAAGTGAGAGTTACTACCCCACTTTGAAGTTGAGGAACCTTAGTTCCATGGGAATTAAGTACCTTAACTAAGATTCCAGAGGATGCAAGTGTGGTATGGGCTTGCCTGTGACTCTAGCTCTGTCTGTCCTAGATAGACTAAGCATGTTGACCTTAACAACAGAAGGGCCCTTTGATAATTTTATCTGCCACCAGTGTATGCCAGTGTATATAAACATGTCTCAGAAAGTCAAATTTTCAACAATTTCATCCTTACCTAAATAGTAGCTCATAAATCTAGAAAAAGACTTTGGCTGCTTCCTTATGAGTAATGTACAATCCACTGAGCTCAGAGACAAAGCACTTGGAAATGCCTTATTTCTGTTTTAAGTGTGCCATATTTTAAAGTGGCATCCTCTTTTTAGATCAAGACATTTAGAGGGATGAACAATAGAGATAAATGTCTGGCCAGAATTCAATAGTCAGGAACACATTTGGACTGTTCATGGACTCAGCATCACTCTATTCTCCCATCTCGAAGGGTGTATGTGGTGTTCAGACAGCAGATACATGGGGAAGGGTTAAGGGCTTAAGGACACTTCACTTAAAGCCAGACAGACTCTTAACAGAACAGAGTCCCCTGATCTCGCCACCATTTTGAAAACATCAAACCTGACTCATATACTTAGCACCCCGGAAGACTACTCTGTGAGGTCTATCTGTTCTCTAAGCACAGGCTTCACCAGGACTTGGATGGCTGCATAGCTGCCCAATCACCTCACCAGGGTTCTCTCAGGGTTGCTCCCCCTTGCTTTGGCTAAAACCCAGCAGAAGGAAATGCCACAGGGAGATGGACTTGACCCTTGGAACCCATTACTACACTACCTAAGACCCATCTGCCTAAGAGGTGGCCTCCCCTCCCTCACCTGAGACATGAGAGGAAAGGCAGCTGATGTATGTGCTCC